TCAGGCATACTCTGATACATTTACTAACCTCGATTGCGACAGGCCTCATTACCAGTCCTCTTGTCCTGCTCGGCCTTCCAACTCCAGCTATTTTCCCGGACTCAGAAGCAACTCATTCTTCAGTTGCGCCATTAAGCTATCATAACCCTCTAGAGGTGACAAAGAATTGTCAGGCGGATCTTGTTGAAGATAAACATTGTATTGATACAAGACATTATGTTGAAACTCCAGTCGTAACTGATGGTAAAATACTCTTTTCTGCCACTTCTGCAGACCATAAACGCTTACACACTCAAGAATCTACTATTAGTGCTGGACTGGATTCGCACCAGCATTGTGACGGCTGCCAAAGAGGAACTAAACGTCTGGCCGAGTTTCGGACCTGGATTCCAGCACTAACAGAGACAGTTGTTGGTGCAGCTGCAGCTACATGCTTGCCAAGTTCCGTTGTGGCTTCCCTCTCAACTGAGAATGAATCTGAGGAATTTACAGAGGCTACGTTTAACCGTCGTCTTTTAGTTGGCCAGCTCACAGTGCTCCAGGCCAACCTAATTACAACTCTACTTTATAGTCCTATACTTTGTCATCGGATTAACCCTTTTCTCATAATCTCGTCCACACCTGATCAGGCCTCCGGAATGGTATCAGCAACTGGGACTCTGCATCCAACGGTCTGTCTTGAATTTTGTCTCTCAGTGCTGGAAGGAATTCATAATCTTGCCAACAAAATGTCTTCTCTTAAAGGATTAATGGCCTCGCAGAACTCTGGATTTGATGTTAGTATTTCTGCTTTTATCTTTATTTCTCTTGTTATCTAGTCATCGTCTATATTATTTCATTACCTCATTTGTCTCTATAATATTTATTATTTTGCATTTCTTTGTCTTTATCTTATCTATCCTCTGCAAGGTTATCATTTGCGCAGGGCTGGTTTCCACTTAGTTTTTCATTTTACCTTTAAACCTCCTGTAGTGTATTTCTGCAGTTAAAAGAGGACATCGATCAATGCTGAAATTTTTCTGTCGTTCAGATGCTTAGATACTTGGCTATCCACTAATTGTACCCCAAATCTTACTTATTTTTATATCTTACCTCTTAATATGTTGCATTTTTCGATATCAAAATTCCATCTAATTTTAACATTTTTATAATTATCTACCATCTATTTGCCAGGACCTCAGCACCGAATCCTCCTGGCTAGTTCGTCTTATTTGTGGCAATCCTTGGGGTTCGTTTGGCATACCTGCAGCCAGAAATAATGATTCTCAACTTCACTGTATAAGTTCTTTGGCCAATTTGCCAACTCCTGATAAGGCGCCCCTCGCCACTAGTCTCCTTCAAACAGCCATCTTAGATGGACATGGTATAGGGTAAGTCTGAATGGATTGGCCTTAATACCTAACATCAAAGCTAGCATAAATCTTTAAATATGTATTTTTTGATAAGATGATTTGGACCTTTAATAAAACAGCTTTATATCGGGTTATCATCAGGCTTTCGTCCACTTTGTGTGAAAATAACCTTTTTCTTTTTTCTGATCTTTCTGTTGCTATCTTCTCTTAATTTGGTTAGCAATATGCA